GTTTTTCCTGTATAATAATAATTATAATGATGATAATGATAATGACCTGACTTTGTAAAGTGCCCTAACATGACTTTTGTTGTGATTTGCTGCTATACTAATGAAATTGAATTGAACTGAATTGAATGAATTTCTTATAGATTAGATATTGATGCACTGCCCCCTGCAGGACTGATGGTGTAAGCACATGTAGAATCAGTGTGCTTCTGTCGGAATGAGCCTACTTTCTACCTTTGGAAAGTTAATTTGTTCACACTCTCTTGGCTTTTTTGTTCTGCAGACATACGTGAAAATCTTCACGAGGTTTGATGAGTTAAAAATCCATTAGACATGTCAATTTAAACCAACAGTATGAATTTAAAAAGTGTGGAAAGTTATTTGACAAGATTTCATTACATTTTAAATCCATCATTTAAAATGTAGCATTTACCCTGATAATTTAATTTATGGCACTTAACCAGTGCTGTCAAAACACTGAGGGGATATTAGACAGGAAATAATCAGTAGATATCAACACTACACTGTTTTTGTAGCTAATATGATTTTTTTCTTCAATCCATTTCTTTTGAAGCTCTGCAGCCTTGTATTCTGTGAACACATGTAACACTTCTGTATTAATCAAATACTACAATTTTTTAAAATGTTGTTGTTGAACCTAATTTTCACATGAAATCAATCTTTATTTTTACCTGAAGCAAAACAAAAGCTCAGCGTTTACTCTCACGCTGGGATTCATTCACCTGTTTCTAAATGTTGAGGGATGAGTCATTCATAAAAACACCGAACGTTGAGGCGTCAGTGGAAGAGAAGGATATGTGTGTCTGTGGTGATGTGTCAGGTGCGGCCTCAGCACATCAGTCATCTCACAAACGGCGGGTGCGATAAAGGTGCCGGTTGCTATAGCAACAGCCATTTCACAGCAAATATATGCTTTTGTGCTAACTTCCATCTGTCCTTCTCTTCTCCTATTCTGTCCACAATCTCCCATCTGTTTCTTTTGTCCTAATGTACCTGACCCTCATGTGTTACCTGCTGAAACATTAATCAGACCAAACTGCACCATTAGAGAAGCCCTGATGATTTCAGCCTCTAACCTACAGTAATTGGATTGCATTTGTAAAGGATGACAGTAATTTTATTGCTCTGTTGTGTCCTGCTCACTTCTAAATCCAATTTCTTTTTTGTTCTCTACCAACGCATGCTGGTGTTTCAAAATCAGTGGCATCATGTTGTAGTTTCCTCATCGAAACAAAGGACATTTTGTATGTTACTTAATATTTTTTCCTGTTTTGAGACTACCAGAGGTCAAATCATGAGTCCACACAGTGACTTCAAGCTTCATTTATTCACTACTGCCACATGAAATAAGTAAAATTAGATAACACAATTCAAACAGTACTTATTGTGCTTTTGTCTATTGGTTGCAGATTTTTTTTATTTTTGGTATTGACAGTTTTTTTTTTTTTTCATCATGTTTGTGACTATTAAAGAAGCCATTTAAATTGGATGGGGTGGGACACCACGTCCTGTCCCACTTTCACTGGGGTTATAAGTTTATTTAACTGTATTTAACGTCACATTAACTTTTCTTTTCCCGCTCTCTGCTTCAGGTCCAGACTGCTCTCTGTCTGTTCCCTCCACTGAGGCCTTCTGGGAGCTGCCCAGTGTTAAACCATCAGCTCAGTCTCTGGGTCGGGCTTCCCATCAGGCCCTGGTGCACTCTGGGTTGATGTGGGTGGTAGGAGGCTACTCCTTCAACTACTCCAACTACCACATGGTCCTCAAGTAGGCATGACTTGACTTTTGTCAGTCCTATAAAACTGATTTTAAGGGTAGAATCTCTTAGAACAAAGCTATTACTGTTGGCACCAACAATCGGTGGTAACCAAAAGACATCAAGCAGTTTGACTGTACAGGAAAACATAGATGGAACAGAGTCATTAATAAATGTTGCTAGTGGCACTTGTGTGAGACGGGGAAGCAAACACACAGACAATGACACACTTATGTTCACTGTACACTTTGTGAGAATATCATCCATCATGAAAAAAAGTCTGGAAATATGTTTAGAAGTCACAGGAAAAGTTGCTTCCTATAAATCCATTTGCCTGAGGATTATTTGTTCATTACCAAAGTAATGAAGTCTCTCCAGAGAGTTTTCTGTGCATGTGGTTATATTACAGATGTGACTTGCCGCTTGCTGATCCTGCATAATTATAATGTGGTGGCAGTGTGGCAGAATGTAGGCTAACAGAAAACAAACGGGCTGACAATGTCGGGGCCCACGGTGTCAGACTCTGAAGAGCCCTGCCTTACACTGTGTAATTCCAGTCTCTAGAATACCATGATGAGTCTGAAAATATCAAGTGAAGGTGCACCTGTGCTCTGTTTTCCTGCAGCTACAACCTGGAGACCAGCACGTGGGATGTGGTGCCCGTCAGCAGTGGCCCTCTCTACAGATACGGACACTCTCTGGCTCTCTACGAGGTAACACAGCTGTGGCTGTCACATTACACTGACACTAAATAGAAAGGCAGCAAAATATGAAAATACATTACTGTGCATTGACTTACACATATCAGCTGATAACTAACATAAATAGTGAAGGATGAAGTCATCTAAAATCTGACAGTAAAACCTGCTCTTTGAACCATTTGGATGTGGCGATAGGGAGTCATCTCACAGGACTGGAGAGATAGACAGGCCCATTATTCACCTTACCTGTGAAGAAATGAGAACATCAGAGTCATCCATGTGTCCCCTATAGATCACTCCCTTCACAGTTCAGCACATCAGATGATGTGTCACTGTCCAAACAGTAAGACACATGCTTATTTTGTGGGATAGTCGTTTAATAGTGAAGGACAGGAGGGAGGATGAAGACGAATGTGTCTGTTCTGCTGTGATGAAGGTGAGACTTGATCTGGAGGAGGTCAGTGCGCCCGACTGAAGCCTGACAATGATTTGTAGGCAGCAGTAACTCAGTCTTGTTTACTCTTCACACAGTTTTTACTTCAAACTCTTGACTTGTAGCTGCTGCACTGCAGATATACATAATGATAGTTACACGACGAGGCTTAAAGTTGCTATAATACATGTTTTCATACTTAGAATTAACAGCATTGCTGTGTGAAACACATACTCGGAGGCTAAAAGGTGACATTAGGCTGATTTTTGTTCATTAGAGCAGCTTGTTTCCATTCTCCCAGTCTTTGTGTGAAGCTAAGCTAACTAGCTGCTGGCTATGAGAGTGTTTCATTTTCTTATTAACGTATTAACTTTTGGCAAGAAAGAAAATAAGCATATTTCCCAAAACAATTAGAAAGGTGATTATATGTTTCTGTTGTGTATTACACTGCCCCCCAGTGGCCAGAAAACCCAATAACAGGTTTTAAATCAGGTTCATTTTACACACAGAAGATTCAGGTGCACAGTTAAATCACCTGGATAGGAGACAGAGGAAGTGACATGTAGACTTCTGGTTTTAAATGATAAATCAAGATGAACAATGTTTTTAAAAGCTGCGCTAACCAAGACAAACACATATTGACCTGTTTAAGAGAGCCAGTGGCACAGCTGAAGCCTCATGCCAGCTTCAGCTGAACACTCATCTCCCTTTCTAAAACCACACATTTCACCCAAGAGGCCAAATTAACATTTGTAAAATGAGCTATAGCTCTGAGATGTTTCTCCATAGGTTGAGCTGTGGAACTCTGGAAGCAGCATGAAGGCTCAAACAAGACACACACATCTTCACATAGCCACTGATAACACAAACACATAAAATACCTCCATTAGAAACTGATCATACATGCTACATCAGGACACCGACACTGCTAACGTACTGTCTTGTTTACACAAACTATTAGAAACTGATCATACGTGCTACATCAGGACACCGACGCCGCTAACGTACTGTCTTGTTTACACAAACCTTCACTGACTTGTGTACTCATGTGCTATAGGATGACATCTACATGTTTGGTGGAAAGCTGGAAGCAGGATCAGCTAACGTGACCGACGAGATGTGGGTGTTCAACATCCCCAGACGCACCTGGTCACGACGGAAACCAGCCCTGCCTCCTCCCTACGCCCTAGAAGGACACACTGCCCACATGGCAGAGCTGGCTGATGGCGAGCCAGTGATGCTGATCTTCTTTGGCTACTCACCAATCTACAGCTACATCAACAAAGTTCAGGAGTACAGCATCAGTAAGTGGACCTGCTGACTCCGCTGCCATTGATTGGTCTTTCTTTGTTGATTGTTTAATTGCTTTTTATTGACGGAAGTCAAAGACGGGTACTCTTCAAGTTGTTGCCATTCACTCATTCACTGGATCATAGCACAGACAGGTGCATGTTTTTTGGTTTTTTGATCACTGCTCCACTGTCACTGGGATGTTGCTGCAGTGCAGAAGCTCACTCACGTTCTACAGCTGCTATTTGAATCAAATATCACTTATAAAGCTTTAGCACCATTTTAATGCACAGAGGGAATAAATGTTACATTATCATTTTTAACAATATCGAGTTTTATGGGTTTGATTTTGTTGCTAGTTGGCTGCTAAATGTTAAAAGTCATATTTTGGAGATTCCTTGTGGTACATGAATGATATTATCTTTGGCAGATACAAAACAAGATATATTCTCTAAGACATGTTTTGACTGCTTTTACCTAACTAATTTACTTTTACCTTAACTCATTTCTGAAAGCTGAAGTCTGCATGTGTCTAACTGAGCCATCCAAAGACAACTGGGCTTTTCCTCACACCTCCTAAGGTTTTTGTTCTTACAGTTTGTTCTTACAGAAATCAGACAGCTGAATCTCAGATTTACACCTCAAACAATTAATAACAAATCTTCTTATTTGTCATCCAGACTTTCTGTAGCTTCTCTAGCTCAAAGACAACAGTCAGCTTTTCAAGAGGCTGCAATTCTTTGGCTGAGAAAGCTGCTGTGAAGCAAAGGTCAGCAGTGGTTGAAAGCTCAGGAAAAACCATCTATAATTGGCAACAGTTTTTTTTTCTGTGGAAAATCTTTCTTCTTTTTTTGGTGTTCACTTTTAAGATGGACTTGCTCTGACTTTGGCTTTTATTTAATTTCTTATTATTACCTTTGTGGTCAGTAGAATACTTCAAACATGCCATTTTCCCAACAATCAGTATCCTTCGAACTATGTGAAAACAGTTTGTTTGGCCACTTCGTGTTCACACTTGACAGTGTGTCTGTGCACAAAGGCAGGTATAAATACATTGTTTTGAAAGAACATGACTGGCCTGAAAATAGCCTTGAGCTTAATCCCATCTGACAGCTTTAGGATAAGCTGGCACTATGGGCCACGCTTCATTGCCACCCTCACTGTAATCGTCTTGTGGCTGAATGGGAGCAAATCCTTGAAATCAGTTTTCAAAACCTAGAGGAACTCTTCCAGGCATAGTTGAGCTGAATGTCCAAGGTTTGAAATGGCATCTTCAACCCACAGACTTGTGTAGTTTTTTTTTTTTTTTTTTACTATACTTTTGTCTGTTTGTATGGTTTTACATACGTGTTTTGTTTCTCTGTTTAGCCAGTAGATGGCGGTGTCTTACAGTGTTGTAAACCAGCAGCTGAAATTAGATTAGGATCTCTGACACATTCTGGAGAGGAACACACACATGCACACATATACACATTTTATAAGGCACACGGCAAAAACAGAAAGGCAAACGTGTGTGCAGCTACACACACACACACACAGAGGCGGCCATTAAGAAGAGGTGGCACCGAGGCCGGAGTGTCTGGGAGAAGACTATGATTAATGAATCCACTGCATTCCCTCACTCTCCCCCGCCATGTCACTCTGTTTCTCTGTTCATCTTCTACACTCTCATCCCCTGTTCATGTCCTCTCTGTTACCTCCCTCTGTATTTTTTCTCTCATGTGGCAGTCTCAGTTTCTGATCCCCTCTGTCATCACTCCTCCTCAGTCCCCTTCAGCTCCTGCTTCCCTTCCTCACCTTTTCCTTCCTTCCCTCTCCTCATCTGTCTAACACTTTCCTCTTCACCCACCGTTCTCTCTTCTCTCCCTCCTTTCTCTTTGACAGTTTCACAGTGTAAGTCTGCACTGCACTGAGTATCATTAGGCTTCAGAGAAAACAACCTGGATGTGTAAAGTGTGAGGTAAAAGGATTTAATGACCACTCACAGAGGCTGGTTTGCAGCAATTAGCTGCTAAAGATGAGAAAAGAGTTGACCTTCTACTTTCTTGTCATCTCCTCACAGCTGCCCTGTCTGTTGCTGCTCTGCTGTTTGTTTCTGACTTTCTTTTTATTCCTGTTCTCAAGTCAGTGTAATTCACTCAAGCTTTTCTGGCACAACGTCTAAATATTGCAGGCAAAGCATGAGGACCTGGTTGATGGCAGAGTTTGAGACCAGTATTAACACTGATGGTATTGATATCATATTGTCGCTAATACTTACTAATTCTGTTTTTCACTTTATAGTTATGTCCATATACAATAGTTACACTTAAAAGCTCAGCTGGTCAGTGCCCTCTGGTAGACGAACTACAGAACAGAACACTGTTTCTAATTGATCTCTAACATATATCTGGCATTTCTATAAAGCTGACTACTGACTGACTGGAATAAGCTAAAATTGGACCAAAGTCCTCACTATTAACAAGTAGTGATACTGTATGCAGTCCCAGGGTGTCATACTAGGGGGCGATAACATACATAAAGCAAAAAATACTACAGGAATATCAGAACAAAGTAGTTCTCTTTGGCAAATTTAGCCAAAGTGTCTAATTATTCAGACTACTGTCATGTCATGTGACATTCAGTGAGACTTTGGACGTCTTTCTCCACATCTTCTGTTTCATATTGGCACAGATTTCACCAGATTATTCATCTGGAGTTTCTGATCTCTGAGTCTGTGTTTATTCATAATGTGTCACAAGGCATTTTCTTTGGAGAACAGACCCAGACCGATTCCCTCTGTTTCTATTTCTGTGCAGAGATATTCCCTCACTGAGTGCTTTCTAGTTAATTTTCTGTCTTAGTTTCTCACTTTTCCTCTCTCTGCTCTCGGTACTACTCGTGGTCTCAGGGGTTTACCATTCCACATAATGGCACGTTTTCTCAGGCTTTGTTTGCTGTGTTGTGGCTATTTTTTTTTAAATGATTATTATTTTTAATCAGTGTTTTTAATAAGAGTTTCTGTGTACCTAAATGAATCTATATGCATCACGGTGGTCTAATAAAGGGGCACTTTTAAACTTAATAAACTCTAATTTCCTCTGGCCTCTCGTAGCGTTTGGCTCCCTTTCTTCTTCTCTCTCCCTTTCTCACTCCCAGAATTAAAAGTGCTCTGCTTTCCGGCATGAAAGTAAAAAGTCAAACTTGCCACAGCATCAAGACTTTAAGTGATCATCTTTCTGGATGAGTGCTGCATTAGTCAGACCTCTCTCTCCTCTCTATGTGTGTGTGTGTCTCAGGGTCGAACTCATGGCAGGTTGTGCCTACCGGCGGCGCGGTGGTCCAGGGAGGTTATGGCCACAGCAGTGTGTACGATGAGGTCAGCGACAGCGTGTTTGTCCACGGGGGATACAAAGCACTTAGCAACAACAAGTACGGCCTGGTGGACCACATGTACTGCTACAACGTGCACACGAGGACATGGTGAGAGCGCAGAGTAGTGCTACCCATAAAACTGTGCATTCTCAGAAACTGTTTTAGTGTTGAATAGATACTGATGTCCAGGACGATTACATCACTGTCTACATCACACATCCATTCTCTAAACCTGTCCAGGGTTATGGAGAGCCGGAGCCAATCCCATCATGCACTAGGTCATAGCCAGGGTGCGCCCTATAGTGTATGTTACATATCTGACATATTTAGTCAGATAAACATATTCACATCCTTTTGGGAAGTAGAATTCAAAGTATAGAGTGGAAGTTGAAATGTTTACATGGTGAAAACAGATTCAAATGCAAATACTGAATGTTTTTGTATTGTGAACAACTTTTAGATACAGTTTGTCAGATTGTGAAGTGTGAAGCTGCTGTTGCTTGCTTGGCTTGTGTTTGTGTATGGATGTACTGTAACCACCTGTGGTACAGTTTTGAGCCACTTCTCTTTTCTGAACATGTGCTCGATATTCCAGACGGTAATTTAGTTCTTTTCAATGCCACCTCATGTATCTGACAGCTGACTTTACTCTTCAGATTCTGCATTCACCATGAGATCATTAAAATATTACTTCCACTCTTTTGCTTCTTCCTTTTAAACCTGAAAAAGAGCACGTCAGCTTCAAACTACTCTCAAAGACTTTTTAATTATTTTTTCCTTTTGAGTTTCATTTTGTTTTGTTTTATTTTAGGGATTTTCATAAATGATTTATGAAAATTAATACGTACAGTATGTTAATACGTTGCCATTATCTGTAGAGGAACCTTTCTTCGCAGTATGCTTCATTTAATTAAAATCGAGTACATTTTAAAGCTAAGTTCTTTTTACTTGGGATAAATTTGTGAAAAGGAAAATCAGCAGAGAGGAGGGTGAGAATAGAAGGATCTGACAGGAAGGTTGACCCCAGGTGACCCCGGGCAGATGGATGGTGAAAGAGGATGCTCGGCTCTATCAGTGTCTCCATTAAATGCATTTGTGTGCATGTACACGTGTGCGCTAACATATGCTCTCTCTCTCTCTCACACACACACACACACACACACACACACACACACACACACACCTCTACTGCTCTCACTTTCCAGCTGGAATTTGTTGCTGGAGTCAAGTGTCACTTGACTTTTAAAATTCCCAGACGGAAACGTTTCTGGCTGGCACATTTATTTTGTACAGCTCCCAGCCTGTGTCAGCAGAAAGCTCCTGACCAGTCCACATGGCAGGATGTAAAACCAGTTCAGCATCAGGGTTCACATTTCTCTTCAGTAACAAATTCTCAGTTCAGTCTTTATTTTACATAGGCTACACAAATTGAGGCTCTGCAGTCGTAGTTATTGCTTAATAGTTCAAAATAATAACTCGGTGTCAGGAGTTCGCTGCACATTTTGGCCCATATCAGATCTAAATTATATCTGTATTTTCTGTGCTTAAGGAAATGCTCCATTGAAAATCTTTTCAGTATCACTTCACCATATGTCTCAGTAAGTAGATCTGAAGCAAATGCAGAAAAAGGACTTAATGTTTCAAAATGAACATTTAAACGTTGATTCAAACAGCTCTGTTCCAGTTTAGATATTCCTTCTGTTAATCCACAATATAGTGCTCAGACCTCCAGAGCCACAGGGCAAGTATATGTGATGATTGTTGGTAGATCACAGGATCATTTGGATGAATATACTTTTATATTCAGCTGTTTTCTGTTGATAATGTTTCCCCGTGTCTCCATAAATGAATGGGACTCTGTGTGCTCCTTCAAGAACACTCAGATATCTGAGTCGCTGCAGTAAATGAAGAAGCTGCAGAAAGTTGCCACAGCTGGTCTCTACTGTGCGACCTTTGACCTCAGAGAGGTCACACACAGCAGACTGAGACCCTCCCCTGCAACGTCTGTGATGAGTGTCTCTGTATGTGGGCTGCTCGCATGAAGGAACAGTTGGTATGAAGTGCAGTCACCACAGGGCAGGTGTCAGACTCAGACAGACCCCATCAGTAACACGACACCATGGACGCACGTCTCTCACTCTGCTAGGTTACACTGTCTTCTCTGTGTGCTCTTTTATATCTATATATGCATGTGTGTGTGTGTGTGTGTGCAGGCTGATTCTCCGAGAGAGCGGTTTGGCACGATACCTCCACACCGCGGTGCTGCTGAGCGGCACGGTCCTGGTTTTTGGGGGAAACACTCACAATGACACGTCACTAAGCAACGGAGCCAAGTGCTTTTCTGCTGACTTCCTGGCGTACGATATAGGTGAGCACAAGTCTTAAATATTCACACACATTCATCAAAGCTGACGTTGCAATTGTGTGTGGGATGGTATCCATTCTAAAGGCTTGGCTCATGACATTAGTTTTGAGTCATTATTCTTTGTTGTGTCAGCTGGAGAACAGCAACAATTTGGTTGTTTACATTTTTCTTTTCTTTTTTGGCATTTTTACTGTTTTCTCTCTATTTGAAGCAGCCAGTTCCCCTCACACTGTCGTCTCTGCTACTACTAACAGCTGAGACGAGCCACGTTCCTTCTCCGATACACAGCGTTGCCAGCAGCTTCCTTACATCAGGGAGTCAGGCTTCATGCTTCTCTCTCTGCCGATCTTGTGGCAGATCATCTAGAGCTGATTGTTTGGCCCCACTGTTGGTGACATCTAATGTTTAGCTGTGAAAGAAAATATGGAAAGCAATAGAGTGTCATGCTTAGATGAACCATACTGTATGTAATACATGATCAGGTATTTGTTTCTATAATTCCAAATTTCCACTCTGTATTTAGTTGTGATAATATCTGAGGCACCGTCACATACAGTACACATACAGTACACACACCAATGTTGTGTGATCCTCCAGGAAAACAGATTTTATTTGTTTTCATCAGTAATTCAGTGTGCAATCTTTCACACAGACACACACATGCATTCAAATGTTGTGTTGTGCTGCTGATTTCCAAGTGTAAATCAGCATCATTTGATGAAATGCAATAATGGTGCATATTGTATGAGATGGAGAGAAGGAAAGAGGGAAGAGAGAGAGAGAGCAAATAAGAGGGAAACAATGAAGAACAAAACTAACCTTAACAGAAGAGTGTGTGAGGAATAAAACATCTTAACAACAGAAGAGTGTGTGAGGAATAAAACAACACATGAAGTCTGTAGGTAGAGAGTGAGAGTATAGATGAATAAGGATCCCATTACATGCTACCCAGTTGCACCATAGACCAGAAGGTTCCACCCATGAAGAGAAACAGAGAAAAGGAAGAATGAAGGGAGAATCTGGAGAGGAAAAGAAATTCACAGAAGAGAAAAAACAGGAAGCAGATAGATGAACAAAGTCAAGACAAAAGGAAAGAAAGAATGATGGCTGTACTGTATATGCATGGAGAAAGGTGCTGTTTGGTGCAGAGTGAAAATGTCTCTTTGAGAGGATGAGGAGGATCCAGACAAAGAGGAAGCAGAAACAGGCTGGTGGCTCAGCAAGTGAAGCTGCTGCCACATCCTAATAATGCTGCAGTGAAGTTGGACAGTAAATATGATGCTGTAACTGTATGTTGAGGGATTAGCAGGGCTCATGGTTAGACACCATATGTCCTGGTTTTAAGTTCTAAAATTTCTTTGGATTATCTTTCGGGTTCAAATCTAGTGGCTGACTGGGGCCTTTCTAAGTTTGCAAGTTCTCCTGATGCCTGCGTAGGTTTCCTCCGGTCACTCTGGCTTCCTCATCGCGGTCCAAAGACATGCAGCTTAGGTTGATTGGTGACTCTGAATTGTCCCATAGGATTGTTTCAGGCAGGGCATCCAGTGTAAAAATACTGTACCAAATCAAACATGGAGTGAGTTTGCTGTGGCGACTCCTGACAAGGAGCAGCCAAAGGATAAAAAGTCTTCAGTATGGGAAGGTCTGATTCCACACACCCTTTGTTCCCTATAACTGAGACCTGACTGTAAATTACATTCTGAGTATTTGGTTCTAGGAAGAGTCCTTTTGGATTTGTCACAGGTCTCTGGGCCATATTTCAGTCTGTCTAATGCAACCACTGTGCCACTGTGCCACTGTGCCGCCCCCTTAAGTTACAGTATTTGATAGAGATGTATACACTGTACCATCCATATTTTGTATTTCTGGCATTATCATCAAGCCCACTTTCATCTTTATTGTCAGATTATAAATTATATAGATCACATAATAAAGGGATAATACCAGGGAGGATATTGTGAGATAAAGAAGAGGATGTGAGGAAAAAGATGAAATAAAAATGCAGAGCCTTGTGGAAGGAGAGGAGGATATACACAGAACGAGAGAGAGATAAAGAGTTAATGAAGGAGGGATTTAGGGAGAGAAAGGGAAGCACTGTGAATAGTGAAAGAGAATTGCCTAAAGACTATGAGGGTATGCAGGATAAAGCAGATAATAAGATTGTGAATAAAAGGTAAATTCAGAGGTAATAAACAATAAAGCATCTGTTTACGGAGCGTCCACATCTTAATGAAGTTGGAGACAACGTAGTGTGGGATGCTGCTTTCATCCACACTCACAGTAAATGTGTGTATTTACGTGGCCCTCAATTCTGTGTAAACACACCCCTTTTTATCAGTGTCATTATTTATTCATATGTGCAGATCAGTCCAACTTTATCATCCATCCTCCACCTCTCTCCCTTCCAGTGCCACAGAGACAGGGTGGAGGGATGAAGTGGCGGCTGAGAGAAAAACACAAACAAAGCTGAATGGAGGGAGGGAGGGAGGAAGCAGCGGTTGGACAAAAGAAGGTGCAGCACTAGAGACGGTGCGTTATAGACATTAGGGGGAAAACAATGGGACCTGAGAGAGGCCATGAATGGTACTCCTGGATATTTGGAAAATTATTTGTACTTGTGTATGCATTTTCTAATTCTGGCACTTGTGTATCTAAACTGAACCATTTGGCAATAAAAAAACAGTTTTATATTCAACTGCACACCCATCGTCAGCTGCTTTGGGGAACAGTAGATTTTCCGAGCGTTTTCCAGTCGATCAGCAGGGTGACATAATTTGTCAGTGCCCTCTGTAAAATGTCCAGTTGTTCTTTTTACAGATGAAACAACCACACTGTAACATGTTAGTTAGTGCGCTCTAGGGTCCATGGTATAGTTCAGATGTCTGCAAATCAATCTCTATGGAATCCCTGTGTCCCTGCCACAGTACTGCAGATGCACGTTGTGGCTGGCGCTGTCACAGTCGCAGCACTTCGTGTCTGTTAAGTTAAGTATAGTTTGTCACTGTGGTGCTGCTAAACAGTTTTCTGTAACCCAAAGAGAGACTGTGTCGAATTTAAATTATCCACTGGGCCACTGTGGGGACTGTTAAACACAGTGAGTGTTATGATGAGCTCAGGAAGGAACTTAAACCTGAGCCAACCAAAGAAATGTCTCCCAGCTCTCGTTGGCTTTTTTCCATCTGTGCTCTCTCATTTCGATGCATTTCCTGTGTGCTTGCTCTTCTGCCGCCCTCTGCTAACTTAGCAACATCTGAGTTTTCAGAGTTACATTTATCAGCTCTTCCAGGAGGACAGTGCCTCCATCCACAGGACACGAGGGGTCATATGCTCTGGCCTTCACAGTCACCAGGTCTCAGCCCAGGTGAACAGTAAAACACCACATGAGGGGACATCTGTTGGAAAAACAGCGTTCATCCCTCCAGGAGAGTCAGTGCCAAGGTGGAGCTGCTCTGGTGGCACGTGGTGGACCAGCACCTCACCTTTATGTTGAGTGTTTCCTCTATCTGTCGCCTGTCTGTAGACATCCTCTCCTCTCCTTGTTTCCTCTCCTGTCCTCTCCACTCATCTCCTCTCTCTAGTTTCTCCCGGAGATAATTAATTAGTTCCACCTGTGGAAGTCACTTCTCTCCATCCGTTGTTTCATCTTCATTTGCTTCTCTCTACCTCCCAGCCTCCACACTCGCTGCGAGCGGTACGGTTTTGAGCACTAATTTGTTTTTGTTTTGCTGCGCTAACCTTGGAGGGGCCACGCAGTGTTATTAGCTTCTCCTGCTCTTCTGCTGCCACACATTAGATTCAGGTCGACACAGAAGGCACTTTTCATTTGGATTTAATTCTCCCTCTTCCCCTCCAGCTCTCCCTCCACTCTCCTCCCCCCTCTCCTCCTCCTCCATTCCCTTCAACCTTGTCACCCTCACACTTCTAATTAGATTTGGGGGAAAATGAACTCTGATTAAAAATGTGGTCCTCTCCAACTTGGCACACCAGAGACAGACACCCACACACTGTCTGCTGTGCACCAACAAACACACACCTGACACACACACACACACACACACACACACACACACACACACGGCACAGCCCATTGAAAGCCTGAAAGGCCCAGGGAGCTTGTTTGGAAGATGTTGGGAGTTGTGATATACTGGAGGAGCAGACAGTGATGGCCGTTCAAGCCTCCTCCTCCTCCTCCTGCCGCCCTTCTTCATCAAGTCCTCCATTAGTGCACATCAGATCAAACTGTCAGTCAGCCTGGCCTGCCTGCCCGCTTCGATCTGGACTCATGATATCTCTGTCTGCCCCACCATGCGTTATTAACACAGATTTTCTCATATCCTGAGAGGAAATTAAAATCTGTGTTGATGCGTGTGTTCATGTGTGTGTATTTCTCATAAGTATCTGTTGAGCCTGCAGTTCTTGACTGAACAATTTGGCAGCGTCAGTCACAGGGTGGTTGGTTCGGGTGTGTGTGGCCAGTGCGGCCAGAGGATGAGACCAGCTGTGACTGAAGCTGTGTTTGGAGGCTTCACAGCAGGGCTGATTCACATGTGCAAATCAGGTTTCTTTTGCTTTTAACTAACAAAACAAACAAGAAACAAAAACACCACAATGCTACATAAAGTGCAGTCACAGAAAGTACAAGCCCCCACCTGCAAAGGCCTTTGTACCTGTCAATTGTTGGTTAAATGATTAAGCAGCTGATGGCAGATGATAAAAAATTAGGTTGCCTGAATTCCACTGCAAAAATTACTGGGGTTGTTTTCAAGAGCTGTGACAGACTGTCCATGGTGGACCCCGCCTCTCGCCCAGTCTCAGCTGGGATTGGCTCCAGCCCTCCTGCGACTCTGTTCAGGAATAAGCAGTACAGATAATGGATGGATGGATGGATGGAGAACTCTATTGCATGACTTCGCAGCAGTACCTTATTTTTGTGCTCAGTGCCACATGCCAGAAGTGAAAACCTTTAGCACCATGTGCACCACTTGCTGAAAACAGATTATAGTTGGCACATACTGCAGCAGTGCACACCTGGATCACCCGCTGACTGATGCTTACTTGATGCAGAGAAGCAAATTTCAGATACAGCCTCAGCTGACAGAAGATCTGTGTCTGTGCAAGACTGAGAAGTGGATTCCACAAGAATATTCCAGATTCAAATCCCCAGACTGGTTTGTAATATTCAGGCAACTGTGTAATCATTGATTGTGACAATCTCGATGTCAATGGCAGAAATATGGCATTCATGTTACAAAGTAATCCACTAAGAATGCACACGATTGGCCAACCTTTTTCTGCTTTAGCCTTTGTTGTTGTTCTGCTCACCCTTTCAAATCAACGAGAAGGGCTCATTGATTACCTCGCCTGTACCCCCTGCGCTCAGCTGACCTGCTCCTCGACACTGAGTAAGTCCACTCCTGATCTGTGACTATACTCTTCTGTGCTCCACGCCACTGCCTGACTAGCTCCTGTACCTCTCACTCAGCTGACCTGTTCCCCTTGATTACTACTTACCTGTATTCTTTGTACCTGCCTGGTTTATCTCCGACGACGCCATGCAGTGTATGAGACTTCTCCAGTCTTGTGTCTGCTATTCACCTGTGTTCCTCGAGCCATCCTGCCTCGTCCCCAGCTCCACCTTAGGTCTCCCCGGCACCACAGTTATACTCAGTTTCTTGTACCTATTTAGTCCTGGTCTGCATTTTGGGTCCTAGTTCTGTGTGGGCACCTTAACATTCTCAAGTGATACATGATTAGTCACATGTATGCAGTCATGGAGGATCCACTCTTAACCAGCTAAAGAGACCTCTGTAGCACTATTACATCTAAAGTTTGATAAATAGTTTTTATTCTTAGTCACTCAGGTCCACACCTTTACTTTAACAGTTTGATACATATGAATCTGACACACAACCTTCCACCTCCCTGACCTCCACACTCAAAGGTGATATATGACATGCAGTGGGCAGCACATATCATTTCCCCTTGAGTCCATTCTCTGTAGCAGTATTGTCACATTTGCTGCTCGGGTCAGTACATCCTGGGCACTTCTGTCTTTGTGCCGTGTGTGGTGTGTGCTACAGGTGTCAGTTGTTGGTGGTCAAATGACACCTACATTGGCAGTGAACATTGGCATCGGTCCCAAACTGTACAGTGTTGAATTGTCTTTGCATAAAATATGAGGCAATAGTGCAGCTAGCAGCTACAGGATTTGTCTAAAGTTAAAAATAGGACCTAGAACCTCCAGAGTTTTCCAATTAGCACATTATATCTCTTTTGTTTAAAGCAAACAAAATGTCAAATATCAAGCTGTTCCTTTCTGCCAGTCCTGCCCCCACTCCAGAGTTACCAGCCTCAGTTCAGCATCTCTCTAGTTGGTTTATATGACCCTGGTTCCTGGTGCTGATTAGAACAGCTCCTCTCCTTCTCGGCTGCATCTCATGTTCTTAAACACTCCCAGTCAGCACACAGCTTAACGAGGTCATTAGCAACCTGGCGTCCCAGAGTCCCCAACTCTACCGTTCTGTACCGCTCTCATTCAGGGAAGGCTCATATGGTTAAATGACACATTTACACTAACACCACACACACACACACATTCATTTCCATATTAATATAATGGGAGCACATAGGGTTCATTAAAACATCAGAGAGTTGTAAAATACACAGAGTTGATATTTGATAATGAGAGAGAGACAGGGAGAGAGAGAGTACTTTATGATGAAGTCATCCCAGATCATCTTGCCTATTTTCTCCATATCACCATAAATTGATGTGAAAGGATGAGGGCAGTGAGCTCTTAGTCGCTGTGATGAAAGCCGGGCAGTAGGTTGAACTGTGGGACTACTTCTGCTTCTCGTTCTTCTTACGTCCAATAAATCAGGTGATCCTTGTTTAAAAAAGAGAGAAATTAAAGAATGGAAAACTCAGTGGAATGATGAGTCTGATCGGTCAGGTCTGACTCCAGTTACATGGCAAAATAAGACAAAAATAATAAACACCATTTGTGTAATTGTAGTCCAGGACTGTTCTTCATGGTTGGGATAGGGTCCGTAACGAGGTGATCAACAGTTACGTGATGCATGGGTGTCGTATTCTGGTGTCCATCTGACGGTACTGTGTATCTGGAAACCTGAAAAGAATAAAGACTGGACCACAGGTGATTGTTTATGTGACTTTCCTCATCTTCAGCACTACAGTGTTGATGCTTACCAGATGTATTCCTGTCTTACTAACGTCTAGCTCCTTTTCCTGGAGGAATTATTTGAAGAACAAATGCAGTTTTTCAACTCTTGTAAGTTTTAATCAAGATTCTGACAACTTAATTTTTTTGTTAATTCATAACTACATCATAAATGTCTGAATGACTAATGTATAGTAGTTGCTTTTTAATTAGCCACAGATAATGATTCTGCTGATTGGGGGTGACCTCTAGGACACAGTGAACATGGGTTTTAGTTGTAACCTCCAGTAGCTGAGGGCTTCTTCATCATTTAATACGAGTTTTAAAAGATGGACGAGTTACTTTTGGACGGGTTTTGGTGCCTGTTTAGATTTCTGTGGTCAGCTGGAAGAAATCACAAAGGTAAAAATGATGGACTTGAACTGGAACACCTTACAGTCCTCTCTTCCCTGTTACCAACAAACACACAAACACAGAAAGCTTTATGCTTATTTATGTGTGTGTGTGTGTGTTTGCCCTCAGCTTGTGATGAGTGGGCTGCCCTCCCCAGACCAGGGCTGCACCGTGACGTCAACCGCTTCGGACACTCTGCTGTGGTCAGTAATGGGTGAGTGTCTTCCATCTGTGCCTGTTTACTGAGACTCACCGCTGCCAATGTGTAAATGCATTAATTATCTGAGTGCAACAGCTCTTCTGGATTTAGAAGGGATTTGTGGCTTTGTTTAGGGACAACTCTGCACTGTGCTGTCGAACACTGCCGCTCAAATGTGGGTAACACTGGTAAAATGGATCAGTGGTGTAATCTAAGCTATGCAGTTACGTTTATGCAACTAAACCAGTGTATTCACCTCGACAGGCTACATTTCCTTGGTGTCTTCTGCAGCGTCCTCTAAGTTTTGAAGCACTGAGAGTCTCGGTCGACTTTCTTCTCCACCTTTCTCTTTCACACAGGTTTTGTTGTGTAGATAGTTTAGGAATTGATCTCTCAATCTCAATGTTATATTTAGTTTTAGTTGACACTTTTCCTGTCACTTCCTGCTCTGGCTCCTCTGAAGCTCTTTGTTTGGAAACTAGGGCTGAGTCTCTCCCACTTTGGCTCTTGTGGATGTTTCTTCTGCTTCACACTCTGTAACTTTCTTTCTACTCCTCTAACTGTAGATACAGTCTATACACTATGCATTTTTCTTTATTATCTCAACAGCTTATTTTTACTTTTGCTATTTTTGAATCTTTACCTCTGTGTTATGCTAACCTCATTCACTCAGAAAACTTAGTCGGTTCAGTTCTGTTTTTCTTTTTGACATAAAGACAAAACTACCTGAGGTAAAAAGCGAAAACAAAATGATTAAACAGCTGTTGTTTAGAAGCCGACACTTCACAGCGAACATTAGGCCCTTAGAATTCAAGCGTGCAGGATAATTTATATGTTGTTAAAGTAAAAGCAACATAACTGATCAGTAATGTGAATGACATGGAATAAGAAGAATCTGAAGGTTCTCCTGGTCATTGCTCCTCTGTGTCTGCCTTCCGACAGCTGACTCCCCCCTGCATCTCGTTCTCTCGCTCTTCTCCACTCCACTGCACTGCACTGCTGTCATGGCTACCACTGCTGGTTTGCAGTCCCTACTGGCTGTTTGCACTAATAAATTCCATTGGTTTTAAGTAAACCTCCAGCGTGGACTTCCTCCTTGTCACATTGCCTCAGCCAGTTTGTGACAAATTATCAATATGAGTTTATTGTAAATAAAGCTGCTTACTGCTCTCAACTGGAGAAAAAAGCAATAAGCCAGATATTGATGTCTGTCTTAAAAATATGGTTCAGTGAATTGGCCTGGAAAGAGTACAAACACTTTGAAAGGTAAACTAAATGTGTATGAAATCATCCAGTCTTTAGTTGAGGATGCAGTTATATTGGGAATCTTCTTAAAAGAAAATGTAATTGTATGTCTTAAACTATCCCTGTAAGGGGTGAAATGGCTCTGTTGGTTATTTAGTTTTTATTTATTTATTTTTTACCTTTTTGTTACATTTTGACATTGTCAGTGTTGAAAATCCTTTTTGTATAAATCATGTAGGCATATCTAAAAGAGAGAAAAGTTGTTTGGAAAACCGATAAAAAGGTTGAATGACACCACGTAGTCAAACTTAAAAAGTGGGGAAGAGTTCAGTGATGATGCAGAGCTGAACCAAGAATAAGGGCCCTGACCCCTTGACACCATTTACCCACCAAAAAGTCATGTTTGAGCACACAAATGTCAGCTTTGAGCTTCTAAAGCCCTGCAGGCTTCAAACCACATTTCCCCTGGGTTTTTTCCCCCAAACCCAAAGTTCAGGTGTTTTGTCTTCAAAGGTTCTCCTGTTTTCTTAACATTTTCAACTGTCTTCATCTCTGCAGGCATTTCTTGTAAGACTCTCTCACTGTAACCTTTGCTGCAGTATGTGGATTCCTTCCACAGGTGATTGTGTAGGTTTCTGGTGTCCTTCTGATTCTGTCTAAGACTCCTTGTATCTTCTTCAGCTCCATATACATCTTCGGTGGCTTTTCGGGCCTCCTTCTGAACGATGTGCTGGCCTACACACCTCCGTCCTGCCAGGCCTTTTCTAACCCAGCTCTGTGTGCTGCTGCCGGGCCGGGCCTTCGCTGCCACTGGGTCAAAAGCAGATGCATGCCCTGGGAGCCCAAACCACCTGACCACATTATTCCTGCTCCTTTTTGCCCTGCACGGCCGGGTACGTTACACTGCGGCCCTGTCTGTCCAGCTGAATGTGCCACTTTATTTCTCTCTCCCAGAAGACTTTCTTCCCATGAGAATTTAAATTATTACAAAGGATTTGATTCCTGAAGTTTGTTTGCATAATTATGATGACAGAGGGGCAGCGCTGCAACAGTTACCTTATTTACAGTAATTAGGAGCGGTCCAAACCCTCCCCCTCATCTGTTCCTGCCAGATGTGGCTACAACAGCAGCTTTTCCAGGTATTTAGCTATAGACAGCTCACTGCAGGTATAAATAGAAAGTAATTATGATCTTGGTTGTACTGACAGGTTCAGATAGAACAATAGTAACCAAAGTCTATTCCAATACTATATTGTCAGATGATTTTGTGCACAGTACTATTCCAAGCATCCACTGGTTTACAACCAACACTTCAATTATACTGTATACTGTACTGACCTGGGATGTGCTGTTATAGGACAATCAGTGTTATTTGCTTCATCTGTGAGCAATCATGATGTACATCTGGTTTTTCTTAAGTGTGTTTTTAAGGCTGTGTGTGTTGCCCTCGTCCAGCCAGTACAGACGAGCAGTGTTTCCGGTTCTCAGACTGTGCCAGCTGCACCGCCAACACTCGGGGCTGTCAGTGGTGTGAGGACAGGAAGTGCATCTCTGCCTCCAGCAACTGCACCGTGGTGAGTCCTCACGAGAGGGAAGGTCACAGCGTGGATGTGCTTTGTAAAGTCACTGCAGTCTGCCTATTAAAGTGTGAAAGGAGACCTTTTGGTAGTAGAAGAGAGCTAATGGAGGACAATAATAATAAGGAACGTTCTCTGTGTAGTAGATGAAGGTCCACACAGTTGTCAAAATCATCGGGAATGCCTGGTGAAAAAAAGAAACAACATTAGAGGCTGTTTGTTCACGTGCGCTAAGTCTTACAGCAATCGGCGCCTCAGCTGGTTTTTTCAATTAACTCACACGTGCTCTTTTATCTGAAATCCTCTGGTTCAAACACCCAAACTTATCCTCCGGGTTTCTAATCTTTTATCTTCTCGAGCACAGTAAATAATAAAATTGAAAAGAAAACCTTTGTGTTTTCATAACATTAGGTGTGTGTGTGTGTGTGTGTGTGTGTTTTATAGTAATAACTTTGACTCAGTTTTTGTAATTTTGCTCATATGGTTTTCTCTCTGTCTTTATTTCCCACCCTGCTTTCTCCGTCTTTCTTTGTACTGTATGTGTCTGCATGTCGCTTTTGTCTGTTTGTGATTGCTTGGCTGGGTTGAATGTGTGTGTGTGTGTGTGTGTGTGTGTGTGTGTGTGTGTGTGTGTGTGTGTGTGGCTGACTCTGGAGCTGGCCCAGCAGCATGGTGGCACTCTGTCTCTGTCTCGCCCTCCATCCATCTTGTCTGAACATCAGCTGACTTTGTGGAAGCACGGAGCCAGAAGAAGAGGACATGTGTGTATTGTTTGGCACTTGACACTTCTTGTTAGACTGCAGGTTGGGTTGCATTAGGTTGTGGTCAGAGGCCAGAACAGACCTTGAGGTTTTATGGAAATTGAGGTGAATGTAAGTTCAAATTTGCATTCAGTTCATGTCATTGATACTTTTCCACCCACCTTTCATTAATGTTGATTAAAAACGTGGTTGGAAAAAGAATCCTAAGCTGTTAAGAGACTTCATTAGGTGAGAAAGAAAATCAATCATCTCTAATAAAAAGCTTTCAAGGGTAAAGTAAATTATAAAACCATTAAAAAAGGATTGGAAAGTATCATAAGAAGTTGTGTCTGTTCTGAACAGCCAGAGATATTTCACACATGTATTAAATTGTATATTGTTTTATCAAACTTGGAAGCATTCAGGGGTCACATGCTTGTCTTGTTAGAACCACAGTCATAGAAGAAGCACTGAGATTTTTTATGTAAGTAAAAGTAGCATTACTATAAAATCCTTTGTTACAAGCTCTGAAAACATAAATGACCAGGAATTATTAGGAACATTTCTAATTACATACAGATTTTGTATCTTACAGAGCTACCCTCCGTATTAAGGAGAAGGACCAGGGCATTTTTCAAATGGCTTCTTTTGAGTCAAACCAGCTGAAATATAATGTTTCTTCTGAAGATGTACAGATAAAGTTGCAAAGATAAACACTTGTTATTGAGGTGAAGGCCCGTACAATAAACACAATCAAAAGCCTGTCTCAGTATAACCTGTCCCTAACATTGATCCCCCTTCTCACTCTGCATGTGCTGTTTGTTTGGCTGTTTCATTCGCTCACTTTGTTGCACATCATATGGTGTCTCACAGTTTATTGCTTTGTTGCACGTCATATGGTGTCTCACAGTTTATTGCTTTAACAACAGAGGATGACCTCGTCGATGAGGTTTTACTGGACTGACACGGTTTCCTCTGCGTGTTTGTGTTTGAAGTCGGTGAGAGACTCGTTCAGGTGTGAGCACAGGGAGGACCAGGAGTGTTTCAGACTGGCCAACTGTAGGAGCTGCTCTCTCAGCGTCAACTGTCAGTGGGAGCCGCAGCAGCAGGAGTGTCAAGCGCTGCCTGGTGAGCACACAGAGCACAAGCATGCATGCAGCCTTCTGCACGTGCACACACACACCACTGTGTAGTCATATATACATAGCGATGTACATGTTTTTGTACTCAGAATTTCTCCAGTATCAGCCTGGTAAGGGTCTGGTTCAACAGACATGTGGACCTTGAGAAAATTAGGACAATCTTTTGTTTTATTTAATGTGCCATTGCAGAAGACAATGCATCCTGTTTTTCCCTCAGGACATTTCTTAAGGATGTAGCTCAATTTAAATTCATGAAACATTTTATTCTAATGAAATCTTGGGGGAAAACCTTGGCTTCGAAGCTCCTAAAGGCTGTGGCATTATGCAGCTTCAATGTAAACACCTTGAGGATCAACACACAGATACTTACAAGAAAAGTTTTACCAATGCATGCATAAATTATAGTTTTATTAAAGCTTTGAGGATTTTTCTGATTACACTGACACTGGGGTGAAAGTTGAATGATTTATTACTGAGAGTCTGACACGGTCTCAGTGTTCTGGTGAAGGAACTCTGTCTTTAGATGCACAAACACACAAACTACACCCCAAGGTCCACAGCGTTTGCATGTTCCCACGTTAACTGGCTGCAGATGTTTTGTGGCCTTCACAAATAAACATGGTTATGTCCATGCAGGTGAGCATGCAGACAGGATTAGCATACATTCATGAACACACACTTCCGGTCAGCTGCTCCACTCAGATGTTGGCCAATTAGAAGTGCTTACTGGACATTCTGGATATGAATCTTTGAGTAAAAACTGGAGCAAAGTCCCGTGCTCCACTCTGCCGTGGGCCTTTAGCTGGAGCTTGACTTTGGTGCATCCATGACTGAAGGCAGGCTCTGCAGTGGAGCATATATCCTCCCATTTCAGCTTGATATTGCCCATTCATTTACAGTTCTACTGCAATGCTGCTTGTATTTTGGTTGAAATATCTTTTTTTCAGCTCTTATCTGCATCTGAAAGAGTTTATGATCCCATTTCTAGTTTGTGCTCAGCAGGGGTGCTGCCATGAGCCCTGCATACTGTTCTCTTTGCAAACTTGAAATATGCATACTATTTTATCATCTAACTCTTGGGGACATCTATATGTGGAAAAACAAAAAGTGTGGTGCTATAGCATTTTGCATGTGTTACTTTTCTATTTAGCATATGATATAGCTGACATAATCTGCTCTGCTGATTATGCAGAAGCAGAGTTGCTCCTATCTGCTTACAATATTTCTTCATTTTGTTTATTGCTCATTTACCTGTTTTCTGAGCAAATCAAAATGAGCACTGCTGGTTGCAGCTGCTGTGCATTTGCATTAACTTGCACCCGCCTCTGGGTTTTAATATCTACAGCATGTGTACTGTGGGTTAGTTCAAAAATACTGGCCTGCTTCTCCAGCCTATGTGTGAATAAAAATTAAGAGTGTCATTTAGAAGGAGACCTTTCAGTAGTTCACAAAAATGAAATTACTACTCCTTTGTGCGTTTTTGTGAGGCCACTGATGCGATAAGAACCAAAAGCTGTCGAGGCTATTTTCTTTGATTTTATGTGAAGACAAATTTGCAGTAACAGTGTGAATAAGACAAACTGTGGAAACTAAGCCCAGCACCATGGCAGCTGTGGCCTTTTCTTTCAGTGTTATGACTAATTATTCTAAATGGCCTGACACGTTTATGTCTGTTTATACACAAAACAGTCGCCTAATCTACCTATTTATTTTCATACTCTCTTTTTTATCCCCCTCATCTGTCTTTCTCCCCTTGTTTTCGCTGGTGATTGCCCATTTTTGTTGCCTGGATTGAATATGTAAAAAAAGAATGCAAGTATTTTCTTGTCTGTAGCATGAAAAGGTTGGTGATGGAAGCTATTATGGGCCTGTGAATGTAATCAGTCCTGGGGCCCAGAATAAACAGCAGTGCTCAGTGGAGGCAGAGGGACTTTTTCATCTCTTTCATCCTGGATAATTGAACAGCCTCTCTACTATTATAGTCTCCCCCAAGATGCTACCAAGTGACCCTGACAAGAACAATGTGTGTGTGTTTGCATTTATATGGGTGAGTTGTCTGCCAGTCTCACTCGGTCTTTGTTAATAGAATTCTCAGTCACCACAGATAATCACTTTTCTTTATCTAATGTTTCATTTTGAATTTCTAGGAATTGATTCAAGTTTGTACAAAGCAATAATGTTGAGCTTTGATCTAAAATAAAAGCAGAAATCAGCAGCTATGAGCCTCTAAATGTAACATTTTGAATCAACCACATTAATGAGAATTCCTTCTCTTAAACCTGTTCACTTGGGAGCTGGTTTAGTAGTGACAGCACCTGTTCAGTGTCCACAGTTTGACTGCAGCTGTGGATCTTTGCTGCAGAAAATTAATGTGGTGCAGATTGTGGTTGTGGCATTAGTCTCAGTCTGTGTATACCAGCGCCGTTCTGCTAGTTTCTGACAACCCAAGGGAAATTCAGGTAGCAGTAGCAGACACCTTGATGCTACCTGTACTCTCTAATGACTATGAACTGAAGCTAACATAGATGTAATGAAGGTGTGTCTTTGTGTGTAGGCCAGCTGTGTGGAGAGGGCTGGTACCGTGTTGGGGAGGCCTGTCTGAGGATCAACTCCAGCAGAGAGAGCTATGATAATGCCCAGCACTACTGCAAGAACCTGGGAGGAAACATTGCCTCTTTGCTCACAGACAAACAAGTCGGTTTTGTTCTGGAGGAGCTGCAGAAATACCAGCTGCAAGGCAAGGTGAGGGGTGTAAAAGAATTCATTTAAAAATAAAAGAAATGTGTCAAGACTGCTGCAAGCTAATCATTATTTTACACTCTGGCTTTCATGCCTTATAAAATTGCTGTGGCTATTTACACAGAGGCATAAAAGCCAAACTGGAATTGCATTTAATGAGCTTAAAAAGGCAGACAGGTATAAACAAACTACAAGTGTATCTATTGAGTTTGTGAAGGAAAGTTGTTGCACAATTTTAGTGAACTACTTACCAGCATTGGGAGAATTATTTATCACGTTCATTTATGATGATCCTGTCTTAGTTCAGCTCCCATGTAAGACAAAATCAAGTCCTCATTATGTGCAAAAATGGTTTCTTAGGTTCAATGAAGCTTCAACAGGCAAATTAAGTGACTATTCTCCAATGTTAGTTACATTCCCTCCTTGTCCCTCCACTGCAGCTCAGCAAGGAAACAATCTGCAGAGACACAACACAACTCCATACTCAGTACTTCAATTTAATTATAAGTCCCACTGCTGACTTTTAGAATGCAGTGAGGACCATATCCTGTATCTCTTCTTCTGGACTTAGCTAGATTGGTTCAGGGCCCTTTTAGAGAAGAGGTGACCATGCTCCGTCTCTTTCCATGTATATGGTTTTTGAGCAGTGTATTAAGACAGCCTTAATGCGAACCTTTCAAGTTTAAAGAATACCTGTATCTTATCAGGCTGGTGTATAATAAAAGTAAGGAAAGGAACAAATGCAAATTCCTTCTACTTCCACAGTCCATTTGTGTCAGCACCATATACGTAGATATAATCTAAATAAATGGCTGCATCCTGACTGTAATTGTAGCTTTCAGCTGCCGTTATCTTTCCTGTGGAGAATGAGGTAACGTCTGGCTGATTAATGTGGACGACTACACTGATATGCAGCTCTCCATAGTTTTATTATATAACATAATACTGATCTGACATTATTTATTTTAAGATGTGAGTGTGTGTTGCCCTAACATCATAAATATAAAGGTTATTTCTACAATCAGATAATTATGTTGTCTCGCTTCATAAGAACAGGCTTATTTACAGTAACGTGTGTATGACGATAACTAATTAGAACTCGGCGTCAGAATGTATCTTTGACAACACCTGCATGATGTGACAGACTCAAAATCTTTAAACAGAGCTGAACTTTTAATCTGCCCCTCACTGGGCTTTAGAGGCATATTCAGACTCGTATCAAAGCCTCCATCAAAGAAAATGATTTTCACACCACTGTGAGGCGTTTGGAATTCACCGAGCACAAAGGAGTGAAATGTCTCACCAGGATGTTTCTCACATGGCTTTTTTTTGTTTTTACTTAGCCCACCGTGGAGCACAAATATCAGTTTCACCATCACTTTATCGTAGTAAACCCAGGTGTCTGAAAAACACCTAGCAGCCAGAATATGGATTTTTAACACCGTTTGAGGATACCAGCTGAACAGATGAATCAGCTCTCACAGAGACTGAAATGTCCACTTATTTATGGTGAGAATGTCATTTGAGAAGCTGGACTGTTTGACTACACACAGACTTTTTGATAAACGTGCAGGAGAAATGGGAACAGATATTAGAAAACTGTTAACTGTAAGAATGCACGGCTAATTCTACTTCATCTGGTAGGAAAGTGCCTGTTGAAGATAGAGTTGTTTTTAATTTAACTTTTGTGTTTCTAGGTGTTTATTCTAACTCTTATCAGGCTGGTGTTGTCCTTCCTTTCTGAGAAGCCTGATATCATCAGCATGAATTTACTTTCTCTGCAAAAATACTTTTATTTCCTTCTCCACCGAGACTGTGAGATTTTTAAACAGAGATGCTGAAAGGTGCATTTGGATGCACGTGCTGCATCGATCTTCACACAGACATGGATAAATACAATTCACAAGCTCTTTGTGATCCTTTAGCCTTTTTACACTTGTGTCATAAAATGCAGCTGTGGTAAAATATTTCTGTCAGATGAAACTCAGCAGCCTCATGATCATCATAGGCCTTATTTAAGCACATCACACTCGTTTTGTTTCACTCACATACAGCTGTTATAATTACATCCCCTTCTGAAAATCTTGCTTGAATGGGTTTGTGGTCTGAATCTGAAGAGTTTCTTCTTTATAACAATGATAGTCATTTGATGAAGGCTTGATTTACGATCCATTTGATGTTCACAGTTCTTATCAGTACGTAGCTGCTTCACTGTGGTATGTGCACTCTGCTCCAGATGTTACTGCAATTCTAGTATCGTTATGTTTTTGTTTGTTTGGACACATTTGAGCTCAAACCTTCTAGGACACTGTGTACGTATTAACTACATATGTAAACTAATAGTTTTACATTGAACTATAAGCTCAGCCTCTTAGGTTCAGGAGATGTAGCAGAGAAGTTGCAGAAGCTCCTTCTCTGACTGGGAACTGTCTGTTTGTTGCTCTCTGTCATAGGTGTTAGTTGGCTCAGGAACAAGGGACACATCTTAATCAGAACTGTATGATGCTCAGCACTGATTTAAAATGAAAAACAGAACCAGCAAAAGAAACCTGAAAAATATGGTCAAGCTAACAGGCAGTTAACAAAAACAATCAGTAAAGTGAACTGGGTATGTTGCCTGTTGTCCTTGGTCAGCGTCTGCTACATCTAATATATATAACCTTCTTTTTCTCTTTATCTCATCCTCTGTGTTGCTCTGCCCCTGCAGAGGTTATCTCCGTGGGTTGGCCTACGAAAGATCAACGTGTCGTACTGGGGCTGGGAGGATGCGTCACCCTTCACCAACACCAGTCTGCAGTGGTTACCTGGAGAGCCCAGCGATTCAGGCTTCTGTGCCTACCTGGAGCGCACGCAGGTGGCTGGACTGAAAGCCAACCCCTGCACCGCTGCCACCGACGGCCTGATCTGTGAAAAACCTGTTGGTGAGAAAGACTGAATGAGCAGAGAACAGAAAGAAAAGATATGGTTCAGAGTAAGATAAAACTCAAACTGTGGGTTGAGGTTTATGTTCAGTTAATCAGACAGACTAATAGGTCATAAAACAAACTGTTGCACTAAAGAAAACATACAGACGAGTGACAAAGGACAAATGTGAATAAATGTGCAGAGAAACATAACGAGTGCAGACACTGGGTTATCACCTTTATCCTATGAGGAAGCATTTCCGTCCTGATGGGAGTGGTCTCCTCCAGGATGACAGTGCCTCCATCCATACAGGGTTGTTTTAGTTGTACTGCAATGGGATTCCTGCACCTCTGTCTCATGGTTTAACTGTCACTAAACCTACAGTAAATCTCAGTGAGTGGCCTCCTCTGTCCATCTGTCACATTGCTTAGGTAGTCCACAGAGTCCGAGTGCTCGTCCCTGTAAGACGCCCTGCTCTCTGCGCACCAGCTGTGCCAACTGCACCAGCCAGGCTGTGGAGTGCATGTGGTGTGGAAGTATGCAGCGCTGCGTCGACTCCTCGGCGTACGTCATCTCCTTCCCCTACGGCCAGTGTCTGGAGTGGCAGACCCAGGACTGCACCGGTGAGATGGGGACATATTTTCTACTCCACTAGAGTCATCTGACAGTCTAAACACGTACTTACTTTCTGGATGATCATTTATATGCAAAACAATAGATAAGACGAGAGTCGTATGATAGATGGCTAACCTGGATAGTCAGCACTCTGGAAGGAATCAAGCAGTGTGAGACATGATATAAACTTAGTTTTACTTAGTAGTACTGTGAATTTAGTTTTACTTCATGTAATGGAGGATCTCATACTCGTGTTTCAGTTTTGAGTTACAACAAAAAAAGGATTTTAGTACAAAAAAAAAATTCATCAATTGGCAAACTAGAAAAGATACATGAGTGTCTTTGGGATCCGATCACCCCCCATGACCGACAGGAAGATATGTAGCTGGGTGTTTGGATAAATGAATGTGGTGGTTAAGCGGCAGAGCTTTGACCAGATCCCGGGGGAGGCTGGAGATAT